TCACTTCATTTCATTCTCTTTTCCCCAACTTTGGAGGGAAGAAAAAAAAAAAGTTTCGTTTGTTTTTTGGTTTGGTTTGGATTTTTTAATCTTCTCCTCTGCTCTTTTCTCCAGCCAAGAGCACTCCCTAACAGGTACTCAAGTGGCCCCACCTATAACCCACAGGCCAAAATGATTAACCCTTTTCCTGTCCTACTGCAAATGATACATTTATTTATCTTGGTATACTATGTCTTACCCTTTGTGGTTTTCTTCCCTTCTTTCTTCTCCTTTAAAGCTAAGCAGTTTCCTGCTATTTCAGCAAGATATTCTATGTACTTCTCCCAGTCTTATCTCTGAGCTTCTTCCTGTTTATCATTGCATTTCATCTTATTTCTTTTCACTGGAAGTATTTCAATGTTGCTTCTCCCAGCCTCTTGTCGAACTGCATGTTTCAGAGAATTATAGAATAATAAGTAAATAGGTCAGAAATTACCTCTGCAACTGTTATCATCCAACCTCCATTATTTTTTAATATAAAAAGCCACACTAAATAAGGGTATTTGTTTAGAAAACAGAATACATTAACGTGTCATCACTCCCCCTGATACTAGCAGGATGCTTGATGTTTGAATGGGATATTGTGAATGACTGATCACCTATTCTTGCAGAATGTCTCGTTAAATAAACTCTTAGGGATGCTGGTGCCATTTAATAGGCTTAATTGTTAATTGACTTATTTTTTCCCTTTGAAACCTTTTGTCCTATTAACAGTCTGAACTATCTTTTGTCATGGGTACTTTTATTAGCTTCAGGAAATTGAGCCATTTACCTGTAAACCCTCGAGTAAGTAGAGCCAATGGCACATTTGAAATTACACTATTTATGTAGCTGAGTAATTTCCACGTGCTTTTTCTGCACATACTGGTACTTCTGGTACTATTTGTACCAGAAAAGGCAAAAGAACTTTACTTTACAGATATTTTCTTTGCCTTACTAACAAAAGTTTTCAAAGCTATGTTTGCCAGAAAATGTGTTACATCTTTTGTCTATTCATTCTGTTATTCTTCCATTGCTCTGAAAACAGCATGTTCTGGACTGAACCATCTGAACAGATGGTTGTTATGCGTTAAAGTCATCAGGGGATGAAAACGCCTGAATGAATCCCCTTCCTCCTCCCTCCTCTCCCCCAAAAAAGTCCACCAAACCCAACCCAAAATGTCATGCATACATAATAATGTTCTTGCTCCCACAAGGAAACAGGAGTTGAATCTCAGAGAGGATCCTATGAGTTAATGATAGGACAGCAATTCATAATTGTTACAGGCCTCCCTTTCACACTGTAGGAAAATACATATTTATTTACTTACTTGCATTTTAACTCTTCTTAAATGATAAAACATCCACATTAAAGGTACTTTTTTCTAAAAAAATACAGACCTGTAAAATAGACATGTGTGCTTTCTTCCTCTTGCCACATAGGCTGCCATGTTCAGAAGCTCTGACTTGAATGGCAGATCTGGGTCCCTCTGTTCAGGGAAGAGATTTTGCTGCAGATTGGGTAGGGACTGTCTATATGCTTTGTAGCTAAATGTGTACATTTAGCTGAGAAATGGCTGAGATGATACCTCATTTGAAGATATAAACCTTGTTCAGTGTATCATGGCATTTGGCTACTTTATTAGTAAGAGCTTTTGAAACTTGAATATAACTCTTCTGGCTTCAAAATTCTATATTAGCCAATGGAGAGAATGATACATGTTAAGAATAATGTGAGATGTTGTACTCTCCTTGTAATATTTTATTAGAGTGAACATTATTCATTACTAAGTGCAAGTCCTGTAAATTTCAAATACTGTTTCAAGAGTTTACTTTGCACTTTATATTGATGATTTAATTAGTTCATTCAAGCCACCTGTTATTTAGGATGTCCTAAAAACGCAAGACTTAAATAATCAATTTCTTTAAAATGCTTTTATTTATTTTATCAGTTAAAATTTAATAAATAGATTTAGATCATTGACAATTACAGATAAACCCAAGCTTGCCATGTACACACTTTACACTGGTTGTAGCTGATCTAATTCTTAATCAAAACCCCAGCAGGCATGATGGAATGATGCTGGGCCCAAGCTAATATGGTTCCATGCCAGACTGGTGTACAGCAGTTTTCAAATGTTCCTTCATTACAATTAAACATACGCACTCCATATCAAAATCATAACATACTGCTTTGTGGCAGCTCACTTGGCCAGTGATTTGGTAGACTATCTGAAAGAACTGAGAAACAAAGATTAACTACTTCCAAAAGCGATCAGAAGATGAGTAGGTTTGTGGAGGACTATCCAGAAAAAGCATCTGATGAATTTAAAGTCTTTTTGTAGCTAATTTTTGGCTTCCTAGGGAAATGAGCTACTACGTTTTGCAGCAAGCTCTCCTACAGCTATGCTTTGTGAAAATATTTGCTTTAGCCTTATGCTGACTGCAAGGTCACAGGCAGGTCCTGATGGGGAAATCAGTGTTTTAAGGGTTTGTATCCAGTCATAAAACCAGTAAGAATTCTCCTGGATGGATGGAATTCAGATGGGTGTTTCTGTTTGCAATGTAGATAAATTCTCTGAAGTAATTCTGGCTTAATTAATATCCTCAGTACTGTGTGGCACAACTCCAAGACGTGACAAAATATCAGATAAAGGGTAGATATTTCCCAAGTAATAATTTCCTTTACTGGCCACATATAACCAAATGAAAATTTCTGTTCATGCACAGGCAAAATAACCAGACATTCTGAAGGGCATGTGGTTAGGGATTGCTAGACTGTATATAAGCTATGAAGAAAATGTTTTCTGAATGCTCTGAGTCTGACTTACAGAAAGATTGTCCTGGTTTTGGCTGGGACGGAGTTAATTTTCTCCCTAGTAGCTGGTGCAGTGCTATGTTTTGGCTTCAGTCTGAGCACAATGCTGTTAACATACTGATGTGTTAATTGTTGGCAGTAACACTTTTCCTGATCAAATACTTTTCAGTATCATGCTTTGCCAGTGAGGAGGGGCACAAGAAACTGGGAGGAAGCAGAGACACGACACCTGACCCAAACTAGCCAAAGAGGTACTCCATACCACAGCACACTATGCCCAGTATATAAACTGGGGGGAGTCACCTGGAAGGCCCAGATTGCTGCTTGGGTTGGGCTGGGTATCAGTCAGCAGGTAGTGAGCAATTGTATTGTCCATCACTTGTGTTTATTGGTTGGTTTTTTTTTCCCATTCTACTTTTATATTATCTCCATGTTATTTTTCTTATTATTATTAGTGGTGGTAGTAGTATACCGTACTTTATTACAGTTACTAAACTGTTCTTATCTCAACTCATGGGGTTTACATTCTTTCAATTCTCCTCTCCATCCTAGCCTGGGAGTGAGTGAGTGGCTGCATGGTACTGAGTTACCTGATGGGTTTAAACCATGACATTATACAAGGAGAAGCTTTCATCTGTAAAATAGATGGGCTGGGGCACAAGTATTTTGAGAAAAAAAAATATGACTATGTCCTTGTCCAAGTCATACCAGGATATGAGATCCTTTGGGGGACAAGGAATTTTGGTATTCCTATCAGTTATGCACCAAACAGGTCCTTTAAAAGAAATTTAGGGCTCATATTGTTAAAAGTTTCAGCTCAGAATTTTCACAATATTTACAGTTTCCATACAAACAAAACTATTCTCGTTGAACAAGGAAATTTCTAAGAGTACAGAAAGAGTACGGATCCATTTGTTTTTCTGTGATGCAGCAGAATGTAACTAGTCAATATACAAGGTAATATTTTGCCTATTTCTAGATTCTATAGTGATTAGCTAAAAATGCTTTAAAATTCTTTTTTACTAAATAACATAATAATCATTATTAAGAAGAAACAGTTTCACTTTTTATTTCACTTTTGCTCTCAGAAGTTTTAAGAAGGTCACATTTAGAATATTTTCTGGTCTTGTATGAACTCTTCTGGTCTCATTTCCCACTTTTAAAAGTCCTGATTTTACTTTTGGATTTTAGAAAATCAGTACATCTTCAGTGTGCTCACTCACAAAACACTTCAGTATTATGCGACTAAACCAGGTTGGACCTTTTCAGCTCCAACATGTTAAGAACCAAATGTGGGTGCGTGAAGAAAACACCGTAAGATGTGAATGCACAGTGAGTGGGCTACTAGGACTAGCCATCCAAATATTCCCCCTGTGAAAACTGCAAGGTAATTTTCTCGTGAAGGCCAGTATGCCAAGCAACTTCTCACACTCCGTTACATAAATTACTGTAAACAAAAATGTTGCAAATTGTCACAGATTCCTTTACCATGATCTGCTTATATGAGTCTGTCTGATGTGTCCTATCTATCCTGTCTATATCTACCTATCTATCTACCTACCTACCTACCTACCTGTCGTGGTTTAAACCCAGTCAGGTAATTCGTTCGCTCACTTCCCCCCCTTTTCTTGCCCTCCCCCTGCTCTCAGAGGGACGGAGAGGAGAATCGAAAAGAATGCAACTCCCACAGGTTGAGATAAGAACAGTTTAGTAACTAAGGTATAACACAAATCACTACTGCTACCACCAGTGATAATAATGATAAAGGAAATAACAAGGGAGAGAATACAACACCTCAGCACCAGCCGACCGATAACTCGCCCCCCAAGCCCAACCAAGCACCGACCGATACCTCCTCCAACCCTGCAGTCTCCCAGCCCTTCCGGGTAACTCCCAGTTACCTCCTGGGCATGACGTGCTGTGGTATGGAATACCTCTTTGGTCAGTTTGGGTCAGGTGTCCTGTCTCTGCTTCCTCCTGGCTTCCCCTCCCCCCTGGCAGAGCATGAGGCTCACAAAGTCCTTGGCCAAACCAAAACATCGCTATCAGCTCTGTTCCCGAGCTGAAAGTCAAAACACTGCACTGCACCAGCTACCAAGGAGGAGAAACATGACTGCTACTGCTGAACCCAGGACACTACCTATCGATCCTTTGTATCTGACCCAAATTTATTGTGTATTTGCTTTATTTAACCAAGCACTTCAGGTAATTTCTAAGCATTCCTCATACTTCATAAGGCTCATAAAGCTTTATTCTCAATACACTTTAGGGGCAAGACTTCAGTAGAGCAGTTACATTGTATGTTTCAGTTTAAGGAAGTCACACAGGAAGTCTGTGGCAAAGCAGGCAACAGACTTCTAAGTGCTATCCATATCCTTGATCTTGGGAATCATATCAGACAATGCCTTGAGGTCATGAAAAAGGGCTGACAGCAATCAGTGCGGTGCTGCACAAGCTAGCACACACAGCATGCATTTCCAAACATTTCTCAGGGAAGCTGTGTTTTATTCAGGCTCCTCAACAGCAAATGCCATGGCTTCTTCCATGGCAGCAGCAGTTCACACTCTTGCCCTTCAGGCAGAGGGGTGGCTGTGCAGTGACTAGAACTGCAAGACAATCCCAGGATTGCTTCAGAACCTGCAAGCTGCCTTAAATGCTATGATGCAAGGATATGCTAGGATTTCTTCATCTTTGCAACAACCATGTTAAGGCAGCTTATCTTTGCTAGATGCAGACACTATGTATTTTATGCAGGCACTATGTATTTTATGAAGATGCGCAAATGAGGATTTCATTGTACTGGAGATCATAAAGTGGTAAGAACAGCTGCGCCTTATGTATTCCACAAATATCTTCCTGTTTGTTACCTGAAATGTGAGGGTGTTCTTTAATATCACCTTGTAAAAAATATCAGGTCCTAATCAGATCTGAATTACATTCTTTGCCAGTGATATTTATGGTACACCTTGGGTTTCATGTCTTTTTGCATAATCACACTCACAAACATATATGTAGTCCTGTAGAAACCTAAATGGGTTGCAAAATAAATGTGGCTACTCCTGTCTCCAGTGCTGGTCAGAAAGACAGCCTGCTGACAGTCTGAAGTCAGCTAACATGGAGAAATAGTGAGTTCCCAAATGCATAACTAAGGTGCCTTCAAAACCTCACATACTTTGGAGAAATTAATAGGTTTGGCTTTTTCTCATATGCACTCACTGCTAGAGGACCAGGAAGGGTTTGAGCTAACAAATGCTCCCTTGCTAGTGACAACAATGACCTGATAATATTTTCAGTTACTAATAATGCAAAGGCAACTTTGTGAAGCACTAGCTCAGAGAACAGCTTATGCCTGAATTTAAAAAAAAAATAATAAAAAAATCTATGCAGTCTCTTACACCTAGATGGAGACACCCTGAGACTGCAATAGATGAATTGTGAAAGAGAAAAAAAGAAGAGCTTTGGGGGTTTGATACTGTTTGCAGACTAATGTATGTGGGTGATCTCTTACTGTAAACACAGATGGCTGTGATCCAACACAGGTCATGCTGAGAAGCCAAGCATGTATCTGTGGGCTTCCTATTTCCCACTGAAACAATGATTACTTGGCAGAATGGCATGAATTTGTAGCCCTTAAAATAAAATCTTTTGGATTAGGCAGTTTGAATTAAGATACATTTTAGATGCATCAAGCTGAAGCTTAAGAATGTCATGTCTGATCATGTTTTCTTCACTAACTGCAAATAAAGGCTGCAATTCTAGGTTTCAAAATGTTCTTAGAACAACAGAATAAGAAATTCAATGTCACAGTACCTGTGATCATGAGATTTTCTGCTTGCTTGAGCCAGTGTGTGAGATAACCAAGCATGGAAAATAGGATAGAGCACTGGGATGCAGCCACCTGCAAAGACATAGATGGATAGAAAGGACAAGACGAAAGTTAGAAAACTAGTCCAGAGCTTGAATAACTAGTTTTGCTGTCTGCTGTAGTACATATTGACTAGATGACCCTGTGCTGGCTACCTAGTCTTTCCATGCCACAGTCCCATAAGATGGCATAACAAGACTAGCTTGCATCAGCAGGCTGTCATTATGACTGATGCTCTCATAGGTATTTGCATGACCCTGTGAGACTATATAATTACCTAGAATATGTATGCACTACCTGCCTGTAATAGGCCTGTGTACAGATAGCCCAACCTACAATGGGTTTATCTCCAGATTAGTCCTGGCTTATAACTATGTATTCCTCTATCCTGGGTTCATCAGTAGCAGTCATTTTTCTCCTTAGTAGCTGGTGCAGTGCTGTGTTTTCGACTTTCAGCCTGCGAACAGCACTGATAACACCAATAATTTTAGTTGCTGCTCAGTAATGTTTACACTGACCAAGGACTTTCTGAGTCTCATGCTCTGCCAAGGAGGAGGGGAAGCCAGGAGGAAGCAAAGACAGGACACCTGACCCGAACTAGCCAAAGAGGTATTCCATACTACAGCACATCATGCCCAGTATATAAACTGGGGGCAGTTACCCAGAAGGGCTAGATCACTGCTAGGGTCGGGCTGGGTATTGGTCCACAGGTGGTGAGCAGTTTTATTCTCTTCCCTTGTTATTTCCCTTATCATTATTATTATTGGTGGCAGCAGTAGTGGTTTGTGTTATACCTTAGTTACTGGGCTGTTCTTATCTCAACCCATGGGGTTACATTCTTTTGATTCTCATCCCCATCCCTCCAGGAGCAGGGGGAGGTGAGCGAATGGCTGCGTGGTTTTCTGGGTTGCCAGCTGGGCTTAAACCATGACATCCTCTCACTGGGAGCTATGTGATGGGAGTTGAGAACCACAGTGACTGTCTTCTTTTACCCCCAGTCTCTCCCTGGGTCAGTCAAACCACAGCAGTGGCATTAGTAGCTAATGGTAACCAAAAGGAGTCTTGTCTCCTAGGGAGCGGTAGTATTTAAACCTCCGTCACCATAACATAAACCCCCAGGACAGTTGAGGTGGTACCAATTAATTTACTTTGTAAAAGTCACCTCATGCACTGGCAACACAAAATAGAGCCATCACCTGAGGTTTCTGCAGTGCAAAGCTGTTCTTTTCCATAATCACAGAATCATAGAATAGTTAGGGTTGGAAAGGACCTTAAGATCATCTAGTTCCAAGCCCCCTGCCAGGGGCAGGGACACCTCACACTAAACCATGCCACCCAAGGCTCTGTCCAGCCTGGCCTTGAACACCGCCAGGGATGGAGCATTCACAACTTCCTTGGGCAACCCATTCCGGTGCCTCACCACCCTCACAGTAAAGAACTTCCTCCTTACATCCAACCTAAACTTCCCCTGTTTTAAGTTTTAACCTGTTACCCTTGTACTATCACTACAGTCCCTAATGAAGAATCCCTCCACAGCATCCTTACTGGCCCCCTTCAGATACTGGAAGGCTGCTAAACACAGGAGAGTACAGGGATGCAGCTGACCAGATGGTGGTGGTTGAGTTGTTCCTTCTGCCTGTATTGCTGGATTGGTCCACAGTTCAGGAGAGGATGTGGAGAACATCATCAGTTTAGAAGTCCTATGTGACACAGAGCCAGGTTCTGTACAGAGAGCATGATGCCACTGGGAATGTGGAGAGCAGACATCCTGGGAGCTACAGAGGAGACAGCACACATGCAGTCAGGGAGAACAGTATTTTGAGGACCAAATCACAGTCATTGTCTAAAGGCACAAGCCATCTGCAACCATGCTCCTTTTCATACTGTTCTGCTTAATCAGAATGCCAGTTACATCACAGAATCATAGAATCACAGAGTAGTTTGGGTTGGACCAAAAGATCATCTAATTCCAACCCCCCTGCCATAGGCAGGGACACCTCCCACTTTGAGCAACCACCAGGCCGCTCAAAGTCCAATCCAACCTGGCCCCAAACAATTACAGGGATGGAGCATCCACAACTTCTCTGGGCAACCTGTGCCAGTGCCTTACCACCCTCATGGTAAAGAATTTCTTCCTTATGTCTAATCTGAATCTTCCTTCTTTCAGTTTAAAGCCATTCCCCTTTGACTTACCACAACATGTCCTTGAAAAAAGTCCCTCTCCAGATTTCTTGTAGGCCTCTTTAGGCATGCAGTAATTCCCAAAGAATTCAGAACAGCTGAAACTACCCATTTAACAGAATGCAGAATCCCTAGTGCAACAACAATAGATATTTCTTAAATTGTATTAGTTGCAGAAAATCTCATGAGTTTAAGCATAAGTTTGCAAAATGCCATTTGTATGAAATTGAAACAACTTTTCAACCTAGCATTTAAATGTTCAAAATTTACTCACACCTACAAAGCGTACCTTCATGATCAGTGAAAAGATGGGCACAGAGGATGCTCTCCCTGAATGCTTTACTATGCTCTTGAGGCCTTACAGTGATCTAAACCTGCAGTGCCCCTCCTCATGCATTCCTCCTCTCTCTGTTTGATGCTAGTGCTGATCTGGTCACACGGTAAGATCAACTGTTTGTTCCAGATGAAAAGAATGCAACTGCAACAGCAACAGCAACAAGAATACCCATAAGAAAAAAAAACATTGTTTCCAAGTGGTTTACATGAACTGCCATTTCAGGTTAGCTTGTCTTTCAGTAGCGGAAACTCAATGTGTAAGATTTAGATGAGTGCTCAAACCCTGTAAAGAGAGGACTACAGAGGTGAGGGTTAAGCAGTCTTTTCCAAAAAGTTTTGAGAGATCTCTTTACATTGTTCTGTACTTAGCTGTGAGTTTACTATACCTGTCTTATCAGTTAATGAATGCTCTGTGTACTTAAAATCTTGTCAGCTTTTTCCAGCTGTGCCATGTGGTCTCACAAAACATCTGACTTCGTTCAACAGATCTCATGCAGTATAGCTTCCGCAGTGCAAATGAATTATAACAGCTTCCCATTTTCCTCTGACCTAGTATAAATCTCTTCTACCAGAAAGATGATTTTGTCTTTCACCCAACATCCTCTATTTTAATGAGCTTTAGGCAACACTTCCCTCTCTGCCTCCTAGAGTATTTTAAAGTTGAAATATTACATGCACGTAAAGTAAGTCTAAAACTCCATGAAGCTTAGGCAGTCCAGATTTCAGCTACTGAATACTAGCTTTTTCCTTACCAAGAGTTATTGTTAGAAGATAAAAATTAAAAATTTACCCTGAACATATACCCATGTGAAAAACTGCCAGGCTGTCCCCATTTTAGAATGTCTAAATCTAGACCGCATTAGCAATCGGTGAATAATCATTAGTAATTATCATCACTGGTATTTGACAGATCTGTGTAGAGGAATAGCTTCCAATTTCTGATGGTAGCGCACCTCCCTGAATTATGCCCACACAATAAGAAACAGGCATGATTATTCTCAGTCTTGTCACTAACAGCTAGTCTTTATTTAGTAGATGGGAAATTATTCTGTTGGCCATGGAATGGGAAGCCTAAATTGAAGGAGGTTACCATATATTTTATTCTAAAGATACCAAGGTTTGCTTTTATACTATTCTGGAGATCCAAGCTGAGGTCAGATGCTCTCAGCATCTGACTGGCATCATTTGGATGAAGACTCAGATGCTCTTTGGCTGAGACCTCAGCATCTGACTCTTCAGCCAAAGGGAGCTGATGGATCAGATGAGACATCTTGCAGAAGCAATTACTACAATTCCTTGTCCTGCAAATATCACAGACATGTCATGTTTTCTACCTGGGAATTTCACCAGTGGAGTTTCAAGTCCAAAGTGACATTCTGAAGCACCCCTTTCCAACTTGTAACAAGCAAAACATGAAAAGCAAACATGATCAGGCATATGCCTGAACCTAGGAATGGTATTTATGACGAATTTCCAATGAAGCTGCAAGTGAAAACAGCATCCATGATGTGCATTTTTGTACTTATTGGAGTGTTTCACTATACAAACCAGCTCTGAAATGAGAATGCTGCTGGGAAATTGCTGCTGGAGTAAAAGTTTTGTACAAATGCAGCAGCTTCAGTTCCTCAACAAAATGTTATTTACTGCTGTGCTTGCTTGTGATTGAAAATAACCTGCAACATACTTCACAACTATAGATGGTATCTGCTCTGTGATACTACTACTGCTTTATGTCTGACTTTGTTCCTTGTTCCAGTAATATACTCAAATTCAGCTCTAAACATCAGAATTACTTGGGTCAGCAACATTTAGCGTACAGAACAGACCTCTTGTTTGGTCTGGTTTGGATTGTATGCATCCCTGTCATCATCCTTCTCTTAAGCTTGTCTTTGTCTTCAGTTTCAGCTGTTTTAATGGCAAGAAAGAACCACCATCAGAGGTAGTTTGAAACCCTTCAAGGAAATAATTCTGACTTCTCAACATTCATGAGATGAACACTCAGGTTATGTAAAAGCAATATTCACCCATGAAGTAGTTCAGAAATTGCCAACCACTGGATTTGGTTTTTTATTATTTTTTTTATTGTTTCTGGTGTTGTGGGTCTTTTTTTTGTTGTTTGTTTGGTTTGTTGGGATTTTGGTGTTGTTTTTTTTTTTTGTTTTGTTGCACAGCTTTCAAATTGCCTGCTAATTTTTTGTTTGATCTGTTTAGACATAAAGACCTGTGCAGAGCCTTTATGAATGTATTTAGGTGTGTTAATATTTTACTTTATTGTAAAAGTAATGTAAGCTACTTTTTGTCCCACTTATAGCTACATTCTAGGAATGGATCATTCCTGTTCAGATGTAATAGTGAAAGATACTAGTGGCTGCCTTAGAGAGTCTTTCATGCAAAGGCTGCCACACCCCCAGACCACTCTTCCTTGGCATGGGACTTCTGGAAGCAGTGACAAGCAGGGCATTGCTTGGCCTCCCCATTCTTTCCCACTCTTTGTGGACACCAGGCTGCCTGTAACCAATGCAACCCTGTCTGACATCATGCTATAAACACTGTAGTTTATAATATGATCTCAGTATAATAGTGTATCAGAACCATTTAGTATGTAGGACTGGGGGAGTACTTTCAGCTGGGTTTGATCAGTGCTTTGGGTGCCACCGTCCAGAGGACTGCTGCAACCTCACAACAGAGACCTGCAGTAGATGGCATAGCAAAATAAAACCTGACAGCTCTTGAAACCCCATCTCCTAAAATGACAGCCCTGAAACTTTTCTGTATCTCTGTAATTGCTGTGCTGAGACAGTGCTTAGAAACCACTGAAAAGGTTCCTTGTCTACCAAAGTACAAGGGTACCACAGAGCTCATGCCTAAGGTAATGAACAAGGACAGAATCTAAAATATCAAACCAAAGTAATTCTTTACACTGACTTTCCAAAGTTTTTTCAAGCTACCTACAAACATCAATTTTGCTAGTGTCACGACACTCCTGCTGGAGTGCAAGTGATTATCATGGTGAATTTTCTTGTTTGAAGTGGAAGCCCATGGTACTTTAAATGACTTTTCTAAATTTAGAGATGTGAGCCAGGGTTGACAACACCATAAAATCTTGATTTATAATTACACCACAAAACTGCCCTTTCGTAAGCATTACCATGTCATTATATTAAGACTATATGTGCAGGAGCAAGCACTATACACCACTGCCATGAATGTGATAAGCTTGACAAATATTTATGTATTTCTGAGGCTGTGTGAATCAACAAAGGAATGTTTCTTGTGATGAAAGACTAGCCTGGAACTAAGGGGTTTAATTAATGTCTAATGCCTTAGACTTCCTGGACCATTCAGGACCAGCTTCTAAGAAAGGTTATGTACCCAGAGTGTTTCCTGACCTTCATTTGAGTTGTGCACTGTGAACTCTGAAAATGAGCCCCCTAAGCTTGCAGGATACCATAGTACTACCAAATGGAGGCTACCTGAGCTCTTCAGTAGCATGTTAGTTACAATTTCTTTTTATTCCTCTTGCACATAGGGTGCTTTTATTAGCTTGTTTTCCAGTCTCTTTTGCATTATCTACACTTCTCCCATAACTCAAGTAGTCTTTCAGTGCTCTTTGGATTTCAGCATTGCTTGTCTTAAAGAATTCAGCTTAATACCTGCCTGGTTTACACTGCTTGAGTTCTTCATATATCCTTCATTTCCTTAATGTTGAATTATTAAAAGTCTCTCCAGCAGAGAAAAGTAAGCACCTCTTGGAAACCTTGAAGTGCCCATGTGCCTTGTGCCTGCTATAAAAAGGGCAGATTAATTCCAAGCTATAAAAATAAATAGCTCTCTTTGTTCTTAAGAGGATTTGGATTGAGCAGAGTTGCTTTATAAGTGTATGACTTCTTAGTATTGAAGTTTGGAAATGAATCAGAATACATGTTATCCACTCATGGTTAAAAATTACCACCTTTGGTATTTTCACCTTGGCTGCTCCTTGAAATTCTACTTATCCTGTCTTCCTGCCTGAGCTTTATGTACTTCACATTGTCTTTTTTTAACTACTGCAGAGGAACTCCGAAATCAAACCTGTCATGGGGAGGAGGAAGAGAGGCAGTGAGGGAAATTAATCTATCTACCTGAACAGCCCACGGGGATTATTCCAAGAAATATGAGTAATTACAGCATGGCAGTATCTAGCCCCTTCCAAACCACACTCCTGTCTGTAATAGGACTGTGGTTGGCAGTGACCGCCCTTGTGCTAGGGAATTCTGCTGAGTCATTTTCATGTGGTCTTACAAAAAAGTCCAGCCCACCAATTTCCACACAGTTTGGCACGTTTGGTTTTCCAAAGAAGGTTTTTGAAACCAGTATCTTACCTCCTTTCTCATAGACACTAAAAACCTCTCATAATTTTCTGCAAGAGTTTGGTTTAATCCTGCTGCTCGTGGATGAAATGGCTCCTCCATGTTTATGTCAACAGTGCACTTAGACCAAGACAGCCCCATCACTTCCACCCCAGATGTGGCTACAACAGGTAAGTGGTGGGGTATTTCCAAATTTCAGGTGACGCTGCAAGTACACAAAGGGGAAAGGTATGTTCCTAATATAAACAGGCACATTGAAAGGCAGGCATGGTTTTGGAAACTGGCATGAGACTCCCTCACAGATCAACTGGTAAGTTTCAGGGAGGATACAACAGGAAGTGAGGGTAACAGCCCTTAATCAAGAGCTACTTCCAGAGCTGGGGAGTGTCATGATGTGCAAAGGTGATGGATTAAGAAAGCAGAGGCTGAAGCTTAGCAAGAGTTCTATAATGTATAATAACTGCAATTAAAATTGGTGAGTGACAGTTAATAAATAAATTCAGCACTGAAATGCAGTGCAATTCTAAATATAACTGGGGGAGGTGTAAGGGCTTTAGATGATGCTGTTATTGCTGAACAAAGCAAAACATGCTCTTGTATCACCGGGCTGTGCTATTACATTCTTACCTCTCCCCCTTAACTACCTTCCCTTGTGAAAGCAGCAGGAAAATGCTGTGACCTTCTTATACTGTCAGCACCCTAACCCTTCCATGCAGCTTGCAAAGACCCAATCTCTTCTCATGAATGTTTTCCGGTTTTATCTTTCCCCTCTGTTCCAACAATCCACCTGCTAACACACATTTTTTTTCAAGTATTATTTTCATGTTTAAAGAGATAATGGGATGTTTTGGCTTGAAGCAAGTGAGAAGGCTGTGGTTCAACTGGTACGAGCAACAGGTACATCAGGTTCTCTCTCAATCGAGAATTTCTGCCTGCCTCTTAACAGGTTCTGCTCATGGCAGCTATGTCATGCTGTTGCAGTGGGCATTCCCAGGTGATCTAACACAAGGAAATTCTGCAATTGTCCACTGTAGTATTCGTTGTATATTCCCTAAAAACACTGCTCCTGGAGCGGATCACTAATCTCACATGGCTAGGAAGAAAGATGGAGGCAGATACCTGTTTTTTAAAGCGATGGCATGAGCAGTGCTAGTAAATCATTATCTAGTTCAGGAACCTTGTTCGTGGTGTTACTGAACACATGGATGATATAAAAAGAAGGTTGAGAAGCATTATATTTTCACTTCGATAGAAGAAAATTCAGCTTTTTGGATAAGCTCAACTAAAGACTTTGGACAGCTATAAACCCACAGACACGACGCATTTTTAGTAACCTCAGGTTTTTCTTTAGGCTGTAACGAATGGCGTCGGACACTTCCCAGTGCCCCACCAGGAGCTCTGCTGCCGCTCTCCCTCCCCCAGGGCGGCAAAGCGGGACGTCCCGCAGGCGCGGAGGCCTGACAAAGGCCCCCGGACTCTCCCGCTCTGCTCCGCTCCGCTCCGTCCCGTTCCGTTCCAGCAGACCGGCACCGCTCCGGGCAGCCTGTCTGTGCCCGGGCGCCAGCCTTAGGAGGCCCACCGCTGCTGAGCCCGCCCACAGGGCCCAGGAGCTTGAGTCGGCCGTGACGCGCAGCCGGTGTGGATTACAGGCTGCGGCAGGCTGCGCGTGGGCCCGGCGGTCATGGCGGCGGCGGCGGCGGCGGCGGCAGCAGCAGCAGCAGCAGCGGAAGCAGAGGCGGCAGCGGAGGCGGCCGGTGCTGCGCCCGACTACGAGGCGGCGGAGTTGTACACCCGTGCGTTCCGCGTGGGCGCTCTCAGCCGTTGCTGGATGCAGCACCTGGGGCCGCCCGACCTCTCTCTGGCGCGAGAGGCGGCGGCTGATGAGGACGCGGCCGTAGTGGCGGAGCTGGGCTGCGAGGTGGAGATGGTGCCCGAGCTGCAGGAAGTGTGCAGGTGGTGGCCACGCGGCCGGTGGCGGGTGGGGGGAGATGGGGCTCCTCCTGCCGGGAGTCCCCAGAAAGGGCTGAAACCTCTGTCTTTCCCCAGGCCGGGACCTGCTGCCCCATCCCGAGCGGGAAGCTTGCGGCCTCGCTCGGTGTGATGCAGGAGAGGCCGCACCGGGGCGTGGTTGTGGGTGCTGTGGCTCAGGCTCTGCATCGGTGCTTTAAGGAGAGGCGAGAGGTGCTCGGGCAAATCTGCCTAGAACGGTTGTTTCCGGATCTGGGCCACGTGGGGGGGGGGGTTATCTCCCGGGTATATGCGCTGTGGAGAAGGAAACCATCGTGTTTCTAGAGGGTAATGCTCCCCTAGCGGAAACTTTGTGTTATGGCATGAACAGTTCAGCACTTAACAAGTTAGTTAAGTAAATACTTAGCAGCGTGTTACTTGTTAGGTAGAACTTGAAGTTACAGGAATATGTGCATGGTTTTAAGAAGCCCCAGTTGCAAAATGAAAGGCATACCTTCTATGAAGAAAAAGAGTTAGGCATCTCTTTTTATTAACATCATTTAGATAAGCCCTGCTAATGGCAACACAACTTTCGAGCTTGCCTCGGCCCTTGGCCTCTACTGACTGTTTTCTGTCAGGGCTGGAGGTGAAGTCAAAGCTATGCAAGTGCTTCTTCGTACTGATTTTGCTGTTGCCCTAAGAGCCCAGGTGACACTAGGGCTGGGAAAGAAAAGGCACTTTCTCTTGTTTTGCACATGTAACTTACCCATATTTGTGGACCAGTGAATTGCAAGCTAGTGTCGAAAGAAGAGAACAATCTAGAAATCAAATATAACTACAGTTGGAAGGCTTTTAGGTCGTGAATAGTGAGAATTGTCTCTCACCTGTAGGAAAGGCTGTTTTCAGGCAGTAATTCCTACAGAAAGAGTCAAGATGATTGGTCTGTAGCTTATCACTGAGGAAGACATGTCAGAGTTCTGTTGCTATCTGTATAGCTTTGTGCAAGTTCTGTCCTTCGCTTACTGTTTCCTGGAAGGTGTAGAAGTATTTACAAGCTATTGCAAATGCAAGATAGAGGTTGTTCACTTTCAGGCACAGAAGCAATGCAGAAGGCATAATTTGGTAAATATAGCTAGAATTTTCCTTCAGTGCTCTGCATTGAAGGGTGCACATAAAAAATGCAGGTGGTGTGTTATGAGCATGTCCTTCTAATGTTTTCAGTTATTCCCCAAATTATGGGAAATGTGAAAACGGAATTCCAAGCAGATTTTCTATGCTTTGTTTTTTCCTTCGTTTATTCCGCTTTACATTCTGCTTTCTTCAGTCTACGACTATGGTATTTCGTCTGCTGCCTGTGTTTGCTGGTGTTACAGAGCTGTGCTGTTTGCTGCTGAGTTACTGTGGAGAGGTTAGGGAAAGAAAAAAAAAATGGGGAGTCTATGATGGGAGAGAACAGATCATCTGGCAGCTGCCTGTTGGCTTTGCAGGAGAATGAAGATAAACCTGCACATCCTGGTGTGACCTGTCTCCTGCGCAGGCTGGAAATCCCAGTCCCTAATCTTCATGTGTTTTTGCTTTTAAATTAAATAGTCCTAACCTCCTGAGTCTCTCCTTAACATTGGCCAACCTCAGATCACTACCTCTGATCACTTTCACTTGCCTGCTCTGAGTTTGTATTCCTCCCTTGAGAAGAGATGAACGCTGGGCTCCACCAAGTTCTATTCTATGGTGTCTTGGGGACACATATATTATCAGCATAAATATGGTTTTCTAGGCACTGAAATGAGCACATCCTGGATATAAACACAGATTCTTCTGACTGTGAACTACTTGTAATGGAATTTAGGGCAAGTTAAGGAGGTTTTCTTTGGGTGGAAGAGAGATGGGAAGATGTGGATACTCCTCCTGTATCTACTTTTAAAATAGTAATAGATTAAGAGAATCTTTAATGGACTCATAATGAAGTTAATTTTTTATTTTTTTTTTATTTTTTTTAATGTCGTGACATAGTGTGCATTTAAGTATTCCTGACAATTTAGAGTCTTCTGGTAAGGAAAACTGACATAACGGTTAAATGTTGTTTAACTCTGTGCATCTCAGTATGTTGTGGTTGATTTTTGTTTTCCTTCTGTTTTATTTCTGTAATGTTACTGCAGACAGAATGCAGGGAAGAAAAAAATTAATCTTCACTCAAATTTAACTCAGTAAAAACGCTTTTCACGCTGCTTATATTGCATGTAGACAATTGCTAAGAGATTGCTTGGGTTTTCATCAGATTTTAAACAGGTGCAGAAGTGGTGTCCTTAACTAGGAAACGGCATCAGTAGTTCTTTTAAATAACCAAGGTGTTGTTAGGGTAAGGGTTTAAGTTTTGTTCAAATGCATTTGCGGTCTTGTGAGCAGAGGTTTACCTTGGAATTCATTATTGGTATTTGAGCAACTAAAGGGCTTGAATGTTGGAGATGCTAAGTCATATTATTCTGTTTTGCCTTTTGAGTGATGATTTGTTGTGTACATGTAGGACAGGCTAAGGCTCAATTCAGTGTGGATTTTAGGTAGGTCAGCAGAGGTGAGGCTTACATGTACCTTATTCCACTTCAGCGCTAATTCACCTTCTTGTTTTATTAGAAGGGGTAGTTGTAAATATCTGTAGGGACGTGTTATAAAGCTGCATTAAGCTAGCCTTAGCATCTTAACGTATTAGTATTTAGTGTCTTGTAGTATTAGTGTCTCAAAGGTGATGAAAGTACTGTGTTTAAAACATACACAATATGAAGAGTAATACAAACATTGTATCTGCTTACTATGAAAATATCAGACAAAATACTAAAGCATCTTTGAATTTCTAAAACTGAGAAGGTTCTTTGGGCTGCTAGGATATTCTGAGAACAGTCACAGTGATTAAAGGGTTCACTGATATTCTATTTCCATATCCAAATTTCCACAGACTTCCCTTTGGCCTTTTTATTTCTAGCTGCCCTAAAATACCTTTCTAGGGACATAAATTTCATAAACCTCTTTGCATGTTTTTTTCAAGTGGGACCTGCAACTACTGTTCCTTGGTACTGTCCTACAGTTCACGTCAGTGTCCATTAAACAGTATGGCCAGTGTTTTCCCCTCTGCTATGACTGACTGCACTGAGTGCATCTGTCTTGTGTGCAGGAGAGGGGGCATGGTGAAATCCCATGGTTATGGGATTTTTGCACTTTCATCTGTTAGGTGTATGGCACCGACTGCTTAGCCTTAATTTCTGGAGGGATTAGCACGTATTTTCTGTTTGTAAAGTCTGTTTTCCTCAGGAACGTGGACCAAATGTTAGTGGTGTGGTTCCACTTGCTGTAGTGGAGTTACCCGGGAGGAGCTCCGCTGTGGCCTGTGTAAAAGGCTGTACAGCAACACCTTCCAAGACTTCAGTGCATGTAATTATAAAAATGTAATGTTTGTATGATCACTTCTAAGTCATTGCTGCAGCCAAAGCAGTTCCACTTTTCCTTCCCACAAGCTGCAGGAATTTGCACTACAGCAAAAAAGCTATGGCTGTCTCTACTCTGGATTCTGTGCAAACACAGGAAGAGTGAAGGTGGAAAAGATCTCAGGATGGAAAGCAGGATACAAGGAAAAGTGGACCTGCCACTTCTGACAGAAATGGCTTCTTCCCACTGGAAGAAATGTGGCATAAGTTAATGCCTTAATACAGCAATGACAGCTTGTGTAAATGTGATGTCTTGCCCATGTTTGTACCTGTATAATAGTGATCTTATGTTTTTTTATTGCCCAAGCATTGATACGTTAATGTCTTCTGATAAAGAAGAGGACCCAGATGTTATTCCTGAAGATAACAGTCTGCTAACTCTACGGTATGTTGTTACAGTACACTCACAATACCCTGATATGAGGTGGGGTAGGAAACACACAAGAGCGTGGCTGGCTGCTTGTTCCTTTTCCAAGCAATGGTGTGCTTTCCGAAGCAGTGTCCAGAAATACTCTAAGGTCAGAAACACCAGCTTATGACAGGATAATTGGTATGAGCCTTCTGCTTGAATGTTACTTACAATTTTTTTATTAAGATAGACAGAATATGCCATCTTTCTCATTGGAAGAACTTAGAACTTCTGGACCTATGTCCTTCTCAACTAGTGCCTAAATTTAGAGTGTGCAGGGGACTTCTCATAATTGTTGGTGAGAGGTTTCTCCAAAGCCTTGTGAAATAAATCTGTAGCCCTTACAGCTAGTAACCTGCAGTCACATTTTAATATCCAAGCTGTTAAGTACTGAAGTCATAGCCAGATAACATCTTTATCTAAATGTACTCTGCATTTCAGATGTTGAACAATATATGTAAAGATTCTGTCAATTAGTGAACTTTGAATTCATGCTCATCCTTTGCTATACTTGAATTTCAGTTTGTGTAGAATGTAAAGAAATGTGTTAGGATTGTCATCAGTGTTAAGCCTGATTGTTACTGAAAACTTCTGGGGAGGCCTAGAGAGTACATGGACTTGTGCCAGAAGTACAGAAGGATTTGCTGTTTATGCGGGGGTTAAATACGTTTATTTTAGTAGATATTCTGTGTATAATACTCTTTCTTTTTTAGAAAAGTATCTTTGTCGTGGGGTTGAGAATATTTGTGGTTTTTTCTTGGTTTTTGTTTGAACATGAATTGAATTCCTTTGAAGTGCGAGGGACAGTTGAAACAGCTTCCTTGAAAGCAGCAAAGCATGCTTTCTATAAAAGCTTCCTTACACAAAATTTTGCTGGTTTTCTTTCTTTTTTTTTTTTCCTCGTAAGTGTAAAATTACCCACAACCAACCTGTGATTTGCACTTAAGGCAAAACAAAAACAAAGCTGAAATCTACACTCCAGCTGTGCATGACCAGGTTTTATGGGAATCAGGAGACGAGTATTTTAAGTTAGTCTGTCATACTAAGACAGCCAGAAGTCCTGCTCTTTGAAGCTGCACTGTAGTAGCTTGTGTTACTTAAAAGTATAGTTGCACATTCTGCATGCAAGTTGTTGAATGAAATTTTGTCCTGTGCTCCTGCCCCTCAGAATTAGAAAAGAGGCATTAGAGAGGAGGGAAGAAACAATTATTGTGGATCGGGCTTGCAGACAAGAAACTCTTGCCTATGAGATGGTAAGTTCCCTGTCATCCTAGGATCTCAAGATAGTTCAGTACAGCAAAAGTCCAGATTCTGGTTGCTTTGTTTTTTTGTCACTGTGAGTCTCTACTCAATGTAAATATTTGCAGGTAGGGGTTTGCAGATAATGATTAAGATTAAAGACATGTTACAGAAAGATAGGGCAGGAAGTCTTCTATGGTCTGTAAGTACCAGAAGTACTAAAGAGGAACTCTGGCTCATTAGTGCTGTATGTCTGTTTTTATTTGGTTGTTAATAAAGCGCTGTGTAGGTGATCAGGTGTACCGAGGATTATGTGAACTTACAGAGCTAAACAAAACACAAAAAGGTTTTGCTCCTGGTGTCCTCTGTTGGAAATGTGTAAATGACTGTGAGCTGGTTTCTGTAGGACCGAAGGAGGAAGACAGTAGGACTGCCACATGGTGGCAGTAATATTCTAACTCTGAGCTTTGTAACCCAAGTTTTTGAGCCATTCTGAGCTGACAGGAACCAGTTTAGTGATCAGCCCCGCAAAAGCATCTTGGAATTCCTTTAACTATGCTTAGTAACTCTTTTTTTAAGATTTCTTCACAATTAAAGTCTGAAACAAGAAACCTGAAGTTTATAAATTTTACAGTGGTGGAGTCCAAGGCTTGAGGAAGCAAGCCATGAATTCTGTAAAACTTAGGGATGGAGGAGTAGCTGGGAAGGAGCCTCACTTGTGACTGTTAAAACATTTTTTTACCCTTGAGGTTTCCTGGTCTGTCACGAATGGTTTTGTTTCAACTGTCTAGAGACCCAGGCACATGATTTAAGCATTGTGTGCGAACTGCGATGCAACAGCTATGTTGAGCTCTTAGCCTGACACGTCTCAGCAAATACTTGCAATAAAAATCTTCATAGAGGGCTTCAACAAGTGGTGTCTTCTGTTTCTGAAGAACGAGTATGTGATCAGTTACTGCATCCTTTAAGCTGTGGTAAGGGGTTTCTGTGTCACAGCTGATTGGGACCATGGTGTACTAGAACAGGAAGAGAGCAAAAAGAAATATGAGTTTGGAATGTGTCACATGAAAAAGGGAGATGCAAGGATCTCAGAACTGAAGTCTCGTATCAGTACACGCTTACGTTATTGAATCTGAAGAACACTTTAAGCTGGTGGGAAGTGTTTATGCAGTCAGTATTCTCTCATGATTTCTTGAAAAAGGGGGAAACAGGACTACTGAAAAGTGCCCTCCCTTATTCTCACAGCTGGGCTCCGTCTTAAACATAAAGTAGGACGGAAATGTGGAAATGCTTTCACTTCTTTTGTAAAACAGTAGTGTGACAAGGGTAGTGCTGGATTTTGGAGAAATCGAGAGCTTCAGCAGTGTGAAGTTTCCCTAATAAGAGCAAGTGTTGCACTGGGTTTTATTTTCATATACTTCATCCTGTGGCTGTTTTCTAGGCCAGTCTTTCTGAAGTTGAGGGTTTTACATGTGAATGCATTAAAAGAAAAACATTTTAAAAACATTAAATGGTGGAAGTTGGTAGCAGCTGTATTCCATAAGGTCAGAGTAGCAGCTTTATTTCCTTTATGCAGGGCTTCTCAGTATGCAAGAAGTAGCCAGCTATCTCATAATTGCTGAAAGCACCTTAGCTTCCACAGAGCTGAGGAATGATGGGAGATACTTGAAATCTCTAATTACAGCAGCTTCTCACATTTCCATCTTGGAGGAAGCAGGCTGTTACCAATTCAGAAGGCTATACAGTAAAAAATGAGTTGCAGTTAGAACAGTGTTTCTCAGACTTTTATCCAGTGGCTATGATATATGAGTGGTTGCCAATATTATATATATATATAAATACACATCTTTATTTTCCAGGAATCACATGCAAGTGGAAAGAGGCCAGACAGTCCTACAGATCTAGTTGAGGAGGGAGAGCTACTTTTAACTCTAAACGTATTCTACCCTATCATATTTCAGAAGGTTGGTACTAAATTCTCTAGGTTGCATTCTGATGTTTCTTCCCTACTCAGGTATTATCTTGCTTTCCTAAGCTGTTAAAAACAGTGCGTCCACTGAGGGAGTGTGGTAAACCCTTCAACTGTGTAACTTCTTAAAGTTTTTCCAGAATCTGGCTTTCATTGTTACTGGTTTACCAAAGGCAATTATTACAGTAATTACTTAGCAGTTAACTGATTTCACAGAAAGCTCAAAATCTGAAACTAAATGCTCAAATCCTGAAGTACTCTTTCTGGATCTGGGATAAGTACACTCAAACTTCCTATCTTTCCTACACTTTCTGGTGGGGAATGTGACAAAATACAACTAATAAATGGCAGCCTTAGGAGAGGCTGAGGCAAAATGCTGTTTAAAATCTTGTACACAGAGGTGATGTGCCATACGCTGACGTGGTTTAATGGTGGATATGGTGGTGCTAGGACTTGATGATCTTAAAGGTCTTTTCCAATCTGGATGATTCTCAAGGTGACAGTATTAATGCTCACAAGTGATTTTTATTTGAAGCTTGTATATTTTTTTTTCTTCATAGCATAAAGATTACAAACCTTATCAGACAGTCCTTGTACTGGGCAGCCAGAAGCTGACGGAGCTGAGAGACTCAATTTCCTGCGTCAGCGACTTCCAGATAGGTGGTGAGTTCAGCAGTCAGCCAGATCAAGCACCAGAACACGTAAGCAAGGTAAAATCTTCTGTGTGGAGCCCTCTGCATGTGTAGGCGCTTTGAAAATGCACAGGAGAGAGGGAAGCAGAGTTTTGTTTTCTTCAGCACTAAACAAACCGCATTGTTTCTGCCAGCAGGTTGCAGTGTGAATAAATAACTTCCTGGTGGCATTACCAAGCTGACCTGTTTTATGCAATGTCAAGGAAAACATCATTAATGCTACCACTGGGAAGCAATAATGCTGGTAATGAGTTCTCACACAGATGTATCCCTGGGGACTGACTTTGTGCTGTATTGGAAAACACCAGAATAGAAATACGAGTAGAAAGCTGAATGTAGGCCATGCCCCTCTGAACTTGCATGCTGTGGTGTTTGCAACTAGGTGCTGATCAAAAGTAGAAGCGAAGACTATTCCCCTGTCCCACAGTAGTAAGGTGTTCTCTGGGAATGTGCAAAAGGAGTCAAAAAAGAAAAAGTACTCTTAATTGAAAATACTGAAACTGCATAATTTTAATAATGCATCACATGTGATATACATCCTATCACAGAACAATTGAGGTTGGAAAGGACCTCTGGAGGTCATCTGGACCAGCTGCCCTGCTCAAGCAAGGCCACATACAACAAGTTGTCCAGGACCATGTCCAGATGGCTTTTGGATATCTCCAAAGATGGAGGTTCTGCAGACTTCTTGGGCAGCCTGTGCCAGTGCTAGGTCACCCTCACAACAAAAAGCATTTCCTGATGCTCAGAGGGAACCTTCTGTGTTTCAGTCTGTGCTCATTGTACCTCATTCTGTGTATTAAAATCCCCTTGAACCTTTTTTCCCAGCTGAACTGTCCCAGTTCTCTCAGCCTTTCCTGATGAGAGAGATGCTCCACTCCCTTCATTTTCGTGGCACTTGTGGAACTCTTGTTCCAGTATGTCCATGTTTCTCGTGTACTGAGTAGCTCAGAACTGTGCACAAGATGCCAGGTGTGGCCTCACCACTGCTGAGGTGAGGGAAAAGATCACCTCCTTCGACCTGCTGGCAGTACTTTGTCTGATGCAGCATAGGATCCCATTTGCCTCCTTTGCTGCAAGGGCACACTGCTGGCTTATGTTCAACTTGGTGTCCACCAGAACACCCAGGCCCTTTTCTGTCAAGCTGCTTTCCAGGTGAGAGACCCCAGCATAGCGTAGTGCATTGGGTTGTTCTTCCCCAGGTGCGCAACCTTGCAGTTCTCCATGTTGAAGTTCCTGTTGGCCCATTTCTTCAGCCTGTTGTGGCTCCTTTTGAGTGGCAGCATGATCGGTGTATCAGCCACTCCCAGTTTTGTGTCAACAGCAAACTTGCTGAGGGTAGACTTTGCCTCAGCGTCTAGACCATTAAGGCAGGTGGAGTACTGGTGCATGCCAAGCTGACTATGAGCCGGCAGTGCACCCTTGTGGCCAGGAAGGCCAATAGTATCTTGGGGAGGAGTGTGGCCTGCAGGTCTGGGGAGGTGATCCTCAACCTTTGCCTGATGAAGCCGCATCTGCAGCAATGTATACAGTTCTGGGCTTAGTACTGTAAGAAAGACAAGGAGCTACTGGAGAAGGTCCATGGAGGGCCACAAGGAGGATCAGGAGTCTGGAGCATCTCTCATGAGGAGAGGTTGCGGGAGCTGGGCCTGTTGAGGGAAGAGAAGACTGAGAGGGGATCTCATTCATAGAATCAACTAGCTTGATGATCCTTAAGGTCATCAAGGGCATCTCATTAATGCATATTAAATATCTCAAAGGTGGGTGCCAGAATGATGGTGCCACACTCTTTCCAGTGGTGCCCAGCATCAGGACATGGAACCATGGCCATAAACTAAAACACAAGAAGTTTCATGTCAACATGAGGAAGAACTTCTTTACATTAAGGGTGGCAAAGCACTGGAACAGGCTGCCCAGGGGGATCATCGAGTCTCTCTCTCTCTGCAAACATCCAAAACCCACCTGGATGAATTCCTGTGTAGCCTGCTGTAGGTGGCCCTGCCTTAGCAGGGTGGTTGGACTGGATGATCTTCAGAGGTCCCTTAAAACCCTAATGATTCTGTGATGTTAAACAGAACTGGCCCTTGTCTTGACCCCTGGAGTACTCTGCTAGTTACTGGCCTCCAGCTAGATTTTGTTTCGCTGATTATCACCCTTGGGGCCTAGCTGTTTTGCCAAGATTACATATTAATAATATAGTATTTTATCAGTATGATAGAAATAAAATAACATCTACAATCTGAGAGAAACCTGAGGAAGCTACATACTTATATATGTAATAGCGAAAAGATAATAGTGTTTTCATTTATATGAAGTAAATGGAAGAGTCTGTCTACCATTATTAGCAAAGTGTTAGCTGATTATTTCTGAGACCAGAGAGTTCTGAAACTATCTTCCTGGGCATGCAGAAAAGTCATGTGAGCCTGTCATGGCCTCAGCAAGGCTGAGATTAGGCTTCCTCACATCAGTTTCCCCAAAGTGCGTGCATGCCACCATGCCCAGCCTCCCAGCAGGAGCTGTTGATGAGTGGTGTGCATTCATTCTATTTGTTTGTTTTCCTCAAGCCTGACTGTGAATTTGCAACTTGCATTGAAGTATAGGTTCAGTATAGTCTTCATGGTAAAGTGTGTGCTTCAGCAGGCAGGAGATCAGCCATCAGTGGGGTAGAATTTTCTTCCTTCCAGCCTAGGAAGGGAGTGACATCATGACCTACCAAAAGTATGTTAACTTTTCCAAATGGAGAAAATAACTTCTGACTAATTTAAGGATCTTAGAGACTGATTTAAATCATGGTACTCTTTAGAGTCTGCAGGACAAAGGCTGTGTAAGTAAGTTACATGTTGCTTCTCTTGAAGTGCAGTATGAGAACACAGGCATAATGTAAGGATCAAGTTACTGCTCTCATTGTTTAAGTAAACAAACATTGCTTGTCAGCCTATACAGAGAGTAAGAGACTTCTGGATTTTATTGGCATAAATGGCCTAACTTCTCTCTCATTCTTGCTACTTTGGGGTTTTGTGATTTTTCTTCTTTGCTTTTTCTTCATTGGGCAGTAATTAATGGGATGAAATTTAACAAGTTCAAATGCTGGATTCTGCATCTAGGTTGAAGCAGCATAGGACGCAAGTATAGAATGGGAAAGGAGTAGCTGGCAGGCAGCCGTGCAGAAAGGGATCTGGAGGTGCTGGCCAAAACAAGCTCAGTCAGTGGTATGCCCTGGCAGCCAAGAGGGCAAACTGCACCCTGGGATGCATCAAACACAGCAAAATGAGCCGGTCAGAGGAAATTATTATCTTGCTATATTCAGCATTGCACAGCCTCACCTTGAGCCCCGTGTGCAGCTCTGGGCCCACAATTCAAGAAGGATGTGAAGGTTCTTGAATGCACTATAGAATCGCAACAAAGCTGGTGGAAGGGCTGGAAGGCGTGTCCTGTGAGGAGCAGTCAGTCACCAAAGTAATCATGGAAGGGAACCAAGCTTGAAGGTATCATCGCCAGTTATGATCTGTCTGAGCTGCCTGCACATTCATCTGTTGATGAATAATACAAGCTTCACTTACCTGAGAGCTGGGACGCTGCGTAATGTGTCCTGTACACAGTGGTGTAGAGGTGGGGACCAGTTCACTGTGATAAAACTATATGTTGACGTACATTGGAGAAATACTTTATCAAAATGCTCTTGAGACCCATGAGTGAAGGATTCTGAGGGAATTGGGGTTGTTTAGTCTGGAGAAGAGGATGCTCAGGAGCAGCCTTATCACAGAGATGGCGGTCAGTCTCTTCTCCCAAGTAACAAGTGATAGGACAAGAGCTAATGCCCTCAAGCTGTGCCAAGGGAGGTTTAGAGTGGATATTAGGAAAACTTTCTCCACTGCAAGGGTAGTCAGGCATTGGAACAGGCTGCCCGGGAAAGTGGTGAATTGGTGTCCCTGGAAGTGTTCAAAAACATGTAGATAAGGCCCCTAGTGATGTGGCCTTGTCAGTGCTGGGGTAATGGTTGGAATTGATGATCTTAAAGGTCTTTTCCTACCTGGTTGATTCTATGATTCTGTGATTCCTTGCAGTTTTGTGTATATTGAAGAAAACAGAGGATTTAAATAGGCTTTATGCAGTGTCTGAATGCAGTGTATAATTGCAAAAGGTTTGGTTTTTTTTTTTTTTTTTCCTTTTTTTAACACTGCTTTTTGTCAAAGCAATTGAAAATATGAAAAAAAAGTATGCTGGAACTTACAGGTAACTGTGTGTATACAGTGTTTTGCAGCATCGCTTGTGTGTGTTGTAGGTGTGTGTAGCTGCTTATACAGCATATGCAGAATGGATCCCTGAGTATCAGTCAGTACAGAAGTGTTCTGCTCTGAAGTGGATTTAGAAGGTTTAGGTTTGTGTCCTTTGACATTGCCTAGCTTCCAGTAGTGAACGCTGTGCAAGGTAGCTAACCTGTTTTCTCCAGCCCAGGATAGACTTGCAGGTTAGCTGTATTTCTCTTGCAACAGGGGTGATTTTCCACCCCCTACTCCTCTGTTATTTTTCTTCAGCAAAATATAATGAAGTACCTGAACAGTATTTTTCCCTGTTTGCTGTGGGTTTGTGGTCTGAGGCATCTTCCTGCTTCAAGGTCCACTGCAGAGGCTGTCTCCTTCTTCTTGTGACTGTTTCTTAAGCCCTGTACATGTGTTGTGATCAGTTTGACAAAATACCCTGCTGTCTGGCCTCAGTCTTTAAAGAGTTGCAGCATAAACCAAAAATAACACCTCTTACACACCAGAAAGAACTTGGAAGAACACAATTTAAAGAAACAAGTTACGTAGACCAAAAAGCACAACCTTTCCTGGCTGTCTTCTTTTTGCTCAAGCTACTTGTCTATAAAGAGGCTGTTCTGACAGCAACAGCAGAGGATGGAAATTATGGGAAGCAGATACATGACCTTTAAACAATTACTTCTTTTTTAGAAGTTAAATGATGTTTATGTCTAAAGAAAAAGTTTGTATGTTTTTCACCGTCTTGATTTTGGCTGTGTATATATATATATGTATATAAAGTAAATCGCTTAATTTCTTTCTCCTGTTGTATAGCTGTTTTTAAGTTTCAAAACCCAACAGAATATTTTGTATAGAATCTTAGAATATTGTGAATTGGAAGGGTCCCATAAGGATCATTGAGTCCAACTCCCTGCTCCTTGCATGACTGCCTAAAACTGAAGCATATGACAGAAAGTGTCATTCAGATGCTCCTTGAACTCTGGCAGGGTTGTTACTATGACCATTTCCCTGGGGAGCCTGTGTCAGTGACCAACCACACTCTCAGTGAAGAACCTTTTCCTACTGTCCAGTCTGAACACAGCTTCATTTCATTTTCTTGTGTCCTGTCGCTGGTCACCAGAGAGAGATCAACACCTCCCTCTCTGCTGCCCCCTGTGAGGCAGTTGTAGCCTGCCATGAGGACACCCCTCAGCCTTCTCTTCTCCAAAATGAACAAACCAAGTGACCTCAGCCACTCTTTATAGGTCTTGCCCTTGAGGCCTTTCATCACCTTGGTCACCCTCCTTTGGTGGGTTTGCTGTCCTTCCTATACTGAAGCACCACCAACTGCACCCAGCAGTCAAGGTGAGGCCATACCAGTGGCAGTGCAGAGACAGCCACCTCCCTCGACCAGGTAGCGATGCTGTGCTGGATGCACCCCAGAACACAGTTAATTTTCACCTACCAGGGCATGCTGTTGACTCATATTCAACTTGCCATTAACCTAAACCCCCAGATCTCTTTCCATGAGGCTGATCTCCAGCCTCTTGTTCTCCAGTCTGTAGAAGTACGATACTGGCTTTAGGAGAGAACAGCTCTGTAAGTGTTGTGTGAGCAGACTGGATAAACAGAACAATACTTGATTGTGCTATTTCAACAAGATGTTTTTCTGTTCTTACTTATTTTGTTCCTTTTCAAGGAGCTGCTTGCAGCAGGAGTCTGCTTTTTTTAATGGATGGATATGATTTTATGTCTGTAGCCCTGCTGCAGAATATATTAAGTGCGTAATGGGGATTCATGGGTTAGCTCAGGTTTTGGGGATAATTTGAAATCCAGTGACTCTTGCACTGTTGGTATGGGTGCCATAGGCTATTAATTATTATGTGTCTTTGATAGACTGATACAAATGGCCTTTCTGTATGTGACAAACTTTGTAATTAAGAGGGAATTTTGAAAGGATTTTTTTTCCATCATTTTGCTGGATTTTCTTCTGAGCCATGCTTTGCATTTTTGCCTCAGCTGTCTTGATAACACATCAGTGTTTTGGCTATTGCTGAACAGTATTGCTGACAGCCTCAAGGCTGTCTCTCTGCAGGTCCCCCCAGGACCAGCAGGCTGGGAGTAGGCAGGAGGCTGGGAGGGAATGTAGCTGGGACAGCTGGCCTCAGCTGGCCAGAGGGTTGCCCCATGCCATGTGACGTTTTGTGCAGCGTTAGGAGCTGGAGGAAAGGTTAAAGAATTTGTCTTTCAAATCAACCACTATGCAAGCTGAAGCCCTGCTTCCCAGGAAGTGGTTGGACATGGGCTGCTGGCCTGATGGTGGGTAACAGGAGATAGATCTCTTCTTTTTGCCTTAATTCTGTGTTCAGCCTTTGCTTTTCTGGTTAAACTGCTTTTATCTCACTCATCCTGTGAGCTTGCCTGTCATGCTTTTTTTCCCCTGTCCTGTTGATACAGGGGAGTGAGAGAGCAGCTGGGTGGAGGGGCAGCCCACTACATCTTACTCATTTTCAAAAATATTATTACTCTTTTTTGTTTGTTTGTTTTTTTTAAGTCAGTGTTGTGCACTGGCTCAGTTTGTGCAGTGATGCTTGAGTTCCTGTTCTGTGTATTTGGAGAAATATGTAACTCCTGTGATGGGGATAGAAATAAGAGAACAGCACTAAAATAACCTGTAATGGCTTGAGAATAGTATCAGCAGAACAACTGCACATCTAGCCGTCATATAAGCCTTGTTGTCACATCAGCACCTAAAATGCAAAGCTTTTCTTAAAAACCCGTAGAATGAAGTCTCTTACCATCGTTTATAAAGTGTTTTTTTTTTTTCCGATCTGTTCTTGTTTAAGGTGTTGTAGTCTCCCATAACACTAATGCAGACCTTCTCTCTTTCTTTCAGGATCTCTACAAATCTGCCTTCTTCTATTTTGAAGGTATCTTTTATAATGATAAAAGATACCCAGAATGCAGAGATCTGAGCAGGTACAGTATTTGTAGATTTTGACTAAGGAAAACCTTAAGGGACAGAAAATTTATTTCATTTTATTGATGATCTGTGGTGTTTTAAAGGCTGGAATGTGTTGTCTTGATCTGTGGTGTTTTAAAGGCTGGAATGTGTTGTCTATGAAGCTAGAATGGACTTTCTTGATATCTTTTCACTTTGAACTGATTTTTACATGAAAGTTTAACTTTACTTGTTCTGCTCATTTCTTCCACTCACTTCCTGTCTGAAAAGGGGCTGAATGCATGTTTATCCCCTAAAATCGTGTTTTGCTCTGTTGGGATGGGGTTGCTGTGACAGATGTCAGTCTGTACAGGCTTTTTAAGTGCCCTCCCTAGTTGTGATAACCACCAAAAGAGTTGCCTGTGAGGCAGAAGAACAGTAGGCTCAGCTGTGTGAAAGTCAGCTTTCTGAGCAGTTTTGAAAATATGCTGGATACCTTCAAGGTGAACTCAACAAGGGGACTGAGCCACTGTTGGAAAAAGAAATCTGAGGTGGTATTGCCAAGAGACTGAGGTACCTCTTATTTGGAACTGTACCTCACGCTGATTGAGCATGTCATACCCATTTAAAATGTGCAAACTAGTTTGTTTTAAGGAAGCATGGGCTTGCTGATGCATTTTGTGAGATTTAGGAGACCAAGATGTTAAAATGGATGGTATGGATGAGCTGTGAGTTTGCACTCTGTTCTTGTTATGCCAGACTTGGTGTGTGACTTCAGAGAAGTTATTTTGCTCCTTTTCTTTCTGTCTGTGAGCAGCAATGATCTTCTTGGTAGGGCTTGTGATAACATACACAGTTTGCAGAAATGAAATGCCTTGTATGCAGGAGTGTGCTGAAGAGCCAAGAAATAGTTGCATCAGTGCCTTTCCAGTGCTAAATTTTGGAAGTTTAAGTGTTCAGTTGTCAGCTTTGTGTCTCCTTGGCAGAAACAAAAAAAGCTTTTTAATACATTAAAACAAAAGTATTGACCAAGGAACAGAAATGACCTGCTTGTAACTTGAGTTATTGGAATGGTTGAGAAGTGTTGTGTTCCAAACATCCTGACCTGGATGGGCACTGTAAGGAGCGTATACTACATGGAACTCCTCAGGAAGCGACCTGATGATTTAAAGGCAGGTGTTCCATGAGAACAGTGCACAGCTCCCTGGGGATGTGGTATTGCTGTGAAATTACCTTAAATTATTACAAAATGTCATGAGCTGTTTTGATTTCCATCTTTTTAACTGTATCCCAGTGACAGGTTTTGCATGTCCCCCAAGGGCTTCCTTTTCTGTGCATTCGCAGTTTATAGCTTTGCTATGCTGATGACCTTTCTGTTTTCAGAACTGTTATTGAGTGGTCAGAATCTCATGATAGAGGCTATGTAAATCTTCAGTCCGATGATATGGAGGACTACACATTTAATGATTTGTCCCTCAAAATTGGCTTCCCATACCTTTTCTGCCACCAAGGGGACTGTGAGCACATCATTATCATCACGGACATAAGGTAAGTTACTGCTCTTCGGGAGTCCTTAGGCAGTTGAAATCAAGCCTTCTGTGGACAAACTTCAGATGTTAAAGGCTGAGTATTTGTTAGACTGAGATTATTCTGCTGCCTTCTACAAGGCTAATTTAAGATTTTATTCCACGTACATATGACTGACTCTGCAAGGAAGAAAGTAATCTCCCCTTTTTTGTCTGCATAAAAGGACAACTTTCTGACTAGCACGGCATGACTGTGGTATGTGAGGAATGGCACCTACAGGGATAATTTTTTTTCTGTGCAAGGTCAGCTTGTGTACTCCAGATCTGCATACAGATTCTGGAGTGGCTTGAGTCAACGGGCTTATTAGTTTAGACATGGTAGAAAGGGGCAGGAGCTGAACAGAGAGCAGAGGAAGTAGTAGGCTGAGTTGGGTAGAAGGAGAGGAAGAGGAGGCAGTACTGGCTGTGAAGTGGCAACCACATCAACAGTAGAACTATTGTGTATACTCTGTGCATAATGGATAGAGAGAGCACTTCTCTGATTGTAGTGAGTTGCAGATTGTTTTGAGTTCGCAGCCTGATGTACCTAAGCATTGTTAATAAATGGTGCCCCCAAGAGGAATACAACTCAAGGGCATAGACATTGCAAGCAGGTGATCTCATTCGTCTGTGATATTTTTACCTGTTGGTCTGTAGGAGGTAAAATCTTTGAAAAGACCATCTAAAGTAAATGTTCTGAAGGTTTCTGAGTTACCGCACAAACTGAATTTACTCCTGACCATAAAATGCATGGGTGGTGCAACTAGCAGGCTGTCTCCAGCTCTTCATCTCTGATAAGAAATGCTAAGCAGAAGTCTAGTCACAGTTTACACAGGAATTTAAATCATGCCTTGTTTACAGTGTCCATGCTCAGACAAATTCCAATGTGGCTGAGTCTTTATTATGTTTTATGTATTTATTTATTTCCCTCAAGGCTCATTCATTATGATGACTGCCTGGACAGGAACCTCTATCCCTTGCTAATCAAGAAACACTGGCTATGTACCAGAAAATGCTTTGTGTGCAAAATGTATACAGCCAGGTACACTAATTTCTCGCTCTTTTTGTCTTATTAAATGTCTCTGTAGGTGCTGCCAATAACTTAGTAAAAACCATCAAAGCTCTGTGCATATTTAATAAGGTGTGTGAAAAATATTCACGCAGATATTCTGCAGTCTCACTCTTCAGGCAGTTGTCCTTTCTCTACACAGGAAAAGGCCTCCTGCAGGTAGCATTCAGGGAGATCAAAAGATCTCCAGTGATGAAGAGGTTAATTATTAGGCTCACGTTCTTTTGCATACATAGAGCTTGGCTCTCAACAACTGCTTTTGAATATCTTACTTTTGAGGGGAAAATGCTGCATTTTTCCCCTGTGACAAGGTATGTGATTCAGATTTCATTTGCCAGAAATCGTACTGAGCTTTCATTAAATCTAGCGTCCAAGTAGAGGGAAGAATGGATCTGTTCAAACGTAACGTGGTAAAATACAGAGATTCCTTAAGGGCTGTAGCTTTCCCCAGAGGTAGACTCCTAACCTCTACCTGAAACCTCTGTGCTGTATTTGAAGGAACTATTTGTGATGCATGGGTTTTCTGCAGTTAAGAGAGCAGAATGTGAATTTGGTGCTCTTTATTCATGTTAGTGCTGTTTACTTAGACATGAGAAAGCCTTTCAGTAGACACAGCAGAAGTGTCTCTAAAGGAGTTCTACAGAGTAGGCTAGGCTTCCTGATTTTACAGGCCTGAATCAGTTACTTACAAGAACACCCGCTGCCCTTCTTTTCCCTGAGGGCAGCTTACGCTTTCAGCCTCAGTTTGGCACAGCAGCTGTGTCCTTGTTATGTTGCTTATTTGGCCTTGGACTTCCCTGGAATCAGGCAAAGAGCCAATTCCCCTGGTGATGGGAGCCCATCGTGGTGCTCCTAGCAGAGCCCCCAGCATGCCTTCACAAGTGGCTGTAATCTGCAAGGCATTTGACCATAAGGGGAGGTGGAGCCAAAGGGTCAGTGTGGGGGAAAGATGGGATAGGAAGGGCTTTACTAGAGGTGATATAAATGCATTAACTTAAAACCAGGATTAAGCACTAAGCTCAAGTGGGGAGGTACTAAACCATGGACAGCAGGGAAGCTTTGGCTGGCTGCTCTGCATGCTCTGATCTGTGCAGATACCATCCTTAATCACTGGAATTCTTGAGCTGTCATGGCCCCTGAGTCCTACCATAAATTAATTGCTTGGTGACATGGTGAGCCCTCCTTGTAGTGGCAGTTGTGTTGACGTTAACTTCAGTGTTTGCCAGAGTGTGTGGCAATCCTTTCCATGTCTTACCTGCATCATCCATGTCTGTCTTTTAGACTTGTAGTTTGGATCAGTCATGTGTCTGCTCTGCATCACAGTTTCTTACCGTCTTACCTTAAGAGCAAACAGATTTATGATTTAAATGGCCATGGGGTGGACAGAAGATTCCTGTTAATATTTCAGGGGGCTTTGGGGGAGGGTTTTTTTGTTATGCTCCATACCAGCTACACAGGTGTGAGGAGCTTCTCAGGAGATGCTGTGTAGATAGCAGCTGTAGATAGCAGTGTAAGATCAGTGTAAGATAGCAGCTGTAGACAGCAGCTGTAGACAGCAGTGTAAGACAGCAGCTGTAGACAGCAGTGTAAGACAGCAGCTGTAGACAGCAGTGTAAGACAGCAGTGTAAGACAGCAGCTGTAGACAGCAGTGTAAGACAGCAGTGTAAGACAGCAGCTGTAGACAGCAGTGTAAGACAGCAGTGTAAGACAGCAGCTGGGATTGGCACTGATGGGTGTGGAGTTTGGAAAAGAGCTGTGTTGGGGTGGGAGGTATACAGTATAGATAGTACCCAGTCAGTATAACATTATCACTGATGTTTGGTGCTGCCATCCCCAACTCTGAATAAAATACTGACTTGAGTGTCACAACTGTGTTGGACTCGCATGGAAAACACTTGTGTTTTGTAACCTGCAGGTGGGTAACCAACAATGACAGTCTGGCGCCAGAGGATCCTTGTTTCTTCTGCGATGTTTGTTTTCAGATGCTCCATTACGATCTGGAAGGCAATAAACTGGGGGAATTTCTTGCATATCCTTATGTCGATCCTGGGATTTTCAACTGAAACCGATGTGAGACACAATGAATTTGTGAAGTGCATTGGTGAAACTGTTGCTCTGGTTGTTAAAACCACCACACAGCTTGAGTTTTGAGCGTCCTACTGGGGTTTAGGTTAGGGTTTAATCCTCTCCCCTGAGGTGGAAAGAGCCCTTTGCACATGAAGTCTTTCTGGTGTGCTTTTCTGAGTAAGCAAGTCTGATTTTAAAAAATGAGTAATTATGGAAAAATATGCTCAAACATCTGTTTTAATCAGCTACATTTTTCTAATACATTTGGGCAAGAAGATGGTAGTTTGGAGACTACGGACTTTAAAAATATGGATGTTTCAAGAGAGAATACCTTGCAAAAGCAGCTGTGACTTTGAGAAGTTTTGTGCATCCAAGGCCTTCTTAACGTCAGAGGATGAAAACACGGTCTTTGGGTATCTCGCCTTGAAAACTCTGGCAGTTGCCATCTCTGAAGAAGGGTGGGTAGCACTGCATTTGTGGGGATACGTTCTGAGAGGGAAGCTTAAGGTGCTTGTTAACTTCTGAAGTCTTTTCCTGCAAGCAGGGGGGTGCTTGCATCTGTGAACTGCCACTGTCCTTACATTCCAACTGAGGACTGATTCTGTGATGAGTAAGCTCCATTTCACTGATGACTGAATTGTGGCCTGTCTTCCAGATTACTTTGACTCTTTACTGTGTGTGAAGTTTTACCTGTTCATACTGTTCATTGTGCACTGCTTTTTTAGTATCATCCTGTAATTGTAAGTGTTGTTGCTTTTTTAAATATGACCAATTTGTACTTGATAGTCTGTTGTTAAGTTAAAACTCTGCTTGCCAAGACAGAATGTATCCAATGCCTTGCTTTTTAAAGTCTGGAATTCAGAGAATGTTAGTGGAGATCTTCACTGTTTAGGCAAGTTAGTAGTGCTGCTGCTTTTCTTTTGAAAGCTTCAGCTAGTTCTCAACCCTAGTTCTGGTTGGAGTAAAAGAAAAACAGCCAACTCTGATAATCTGCATACAGAAGTGTATTTGACACATTGAATTCTGTTGAGGTCCTGTGGCCGCAGATCCTGCAAGTGCTTACTGATTACCTTAGATGTCTTGAAACAGAAGTGTCTTGTGAATATTAATCTGTGGGGGGTTTAAGGAAAGTGAGGTTTTTTTTTGTCATCTAAGTTGGGCAGCTGTTGGCCTCTGTACCCTGAAGACAGAGGAGTGAACTCTTCAGCACCGGCACTTGTCACAGCAGGTGCTGAACGGGTCCTTACCCCTCAGGAACCTGTGGAACTGTCATCAGTCAGACTGCTGGGGCTGTGCTGCTTTATGGTGTTGTAGCAGCAGTTGCAGTATGCTTCTGGTTGCAACTTCAGTGAGTTGCCTCCCGTCATCCTGCCCCAACCTTCTCCTTTTCCGGCTGTCTCCTAGTAACATACGGGCTTCTGAATTCTCTTCGGTATTGGAACCAAGGTCATGTAGACAGCTCACATAATTTCTGCAGGTACTGTTTGCTTGTTGGATGGGAGCAATCACTAGGGATTTTTGGGTGGATTTTTTTTTTCTTTAGCCTCAGGGAGAAGAGAGTGGTCAAAATGTGATTTTATTCTTTCATTAAGCTAATTCTGCCTTGGTATGCTGTCCTTCACTCAAACCATTCACCTTCTTTCCAGTAAAAACTTATGGTCAAATATATTTCAAGATTCCTGTCCCTGCAGATGAATACATTCCAGTAGGGTCAGCCCCATACTTAGAGTAAGTCTGAGTGCAGGAGTTGTGTGTGTATAGCACTTAACTACAAACAGAGAAGAACTTGTATGAGAAGATGCTGTTTGTGTGATCAGGTTCTATTTCATACCAAATGACTCAAATGGCAAGCAGAACAAAAAGGCTACACTAAATCATAGTTTTTAAAAGATGCTTCCCAGGAGCTATTGCAGGACAGCCAAATTTGATATTGATTTAATGTGTCTTTCAGAATGAGTCCTGTGAGTGAAATCCAACATTGCAGCCAGCTGCCCATTCACAGTTCAATTTCTATGATAGCAGCTGGGTATCTGTCTTTTGGCTGCTTGTTAAATGTGGTTAGTGGCTGATCAGAACTTACAAGCAGGCTTATTACTTCATGGTGAAAAATGAGAAAGTATATATTTTTTAATAATACTTTCTCTCTGTTTGATATTTACATCTTTTTAAGCAAGACCATCAGCAATTATTATTTTCTTTTAATAAATCTGTTGTAATACATAATCCCATGTACTAAAATATCTTTATTATATTATTATATTTATTTTTATATATTATATAAAAATAAATATAGTAAAATAATATAAATTCTATATACAATGTATATTATATATTATTATATTTATTTTATTATTAAATAAATATTTATTTGCAAATAAAAGACAGACTAGGGACAACGTGGGCCCTCTCCGGAAGCTATGGGGAGAACTGGCTACCCTGGATTTGCAGAAGGCTGAGGTTCTTTGCCTCAGTCTTCACTGGCAAAGGCTCTGACCACACCACCAAACTCTTGGAAGGCAGACGCAGGGACTGAGAATGAAGACCTTGGGCCCACTGTAGGAGAGGATCTTGTATGAGACCATCTTAAGAACCTGAACGTGCGCAAGTCCATGGTACCTGATGAAATCCATCCGCGGCTCCTGAAGGAGCTGGCAAATGAAGTTGCTAAGCCACTGGCCATTGATGGCAGTCAGATGAAGTTCCCGATGACTGGAGAAAGGGGAATATAACCCCCATTTTCAAGAAGGGGAAAATGGATGACCCGGGGAATTACAGACCAGTCAGTCTCACCTCTGTGCCTGGCAAAATCTTGGAGCAGATTCTCCTGGAAGGCATTCTAAGGCACATGAAAATCAACAAGGTCCCTGGTGACAGCCAGCATGGCTTCACTAAGGGGAAATCCTGCCTCACCAATCTGGTGGCCTTCTATGATGGGGCTACAGAACTGATGGACAGGGCTAGAGCAGTTGATGTCATCTGCCTGGACTTGTGCAAAGCATTCAACACTGTCCCACACGACATCCTTGTCTCTAAATTGGAGAGACATCAATTTGATAGGTGGAGCACTCGGTGGATAAAAAACTGGCTGGATGGCCGCATGCAAAGAGTTGTGGTCAATGGCTCAATGTCCGGCTGGAGACCTGTAACGAGGGGTGTCCCTCAGGGATCGGTGTTGGGACCGGTCTTGTTCAACATCTTTGTCGCTGACATGGACAGTGGGATTTAGTGCGCCCTCAGCAAGTTTGCCGATGACATCAAGCTGTGTGGTTCGGTTGATACCCTGGAGGGAAGGAATGCCATCCAGAGGGACCTCGACACGCTTGTGTGGTGGACTGAGCCAGCCTTATGAAGTTTAACCATGCCAAGTGCAAGGTCCTACACCTGGGTCAGAGCAATCCCAGGTGCAGCTATGGGCTGGGCAGAGAAGAGATTCAGAGCAGCCCTGTGGAGAAGGACTTGGGGGTGTTGGTTGATGAGAAAATGAACATGGGCCAGCTTCAGTGTGCACTCACAGCCCAGAAAGCCAACCGTATCCTGGGCTGCATCAAAAGGAGCGTGACCAGCAGGTCGAAGGAGGTGATCCTGCCCCTCTACTCTGCTCTTGTGAGACCTCACCTGGAGTATTGTGTGCAGTTCTGGTGTCCTCAACATAAAAAGGACATGGAACTGTTGGAACAAGTCCAGAGAAGGGCCACTAGGATGATCAGGGGACTGGAGCACCTCCTGTATGAAGACAGGCTGAGGAAGTTTGGGCTGTTCAGCCTGGAGAAGGCTGCGTGGAGACCTCATAGCAGCCTTCCAGTATCTGAAGGGGGCCTGTAAGGATGCTGGCTAGGGACTCTTCATCAGGGACTGTAGTGATAGTACAAGGGGTAACAGGTTCAGACTTAAACAGGGGAAGTTTAGATTGGATATAAGAAGGAAATTCTTTCCTGTTAGGGTGGTGAGGCACTGGAATGGGTTGCCCAGGGAGGTTGTGAATGCTCCATCCCTGGCGGTGTTCAAGGCCAGTTTGGACAGACTCTTGGGTGGCATGGTTTAGTGTGAGGTGTCCCTGCCCATGGCAGGGGGGTTGGAACTAGATGATCTTAAGGTCCTTTCCAACCCTATTTTATGATTGTATGATGTTAGTGTGTGTAACTTTCAAATGATTTGAGTTGTATTTAAATAAAAATTTAAGGGCCCTGTGTGCTTGACATACAATGATTTGTGTCTGTACTTACCGGGAGAAGAAAAAAGGCTGGAGTTTTAAAAACTGTAGTTGAATCTTGCATCTAAAAACCATTTACATGAATCTGTGGTTGGCTTTTTACTTCGATCTTTTTCAAACACTCAAGTGTTGTGCCAGTGTGAACCTTTGTAGCTAACTTCAAACTAACAAAAGGGCTTGGAGAGTCAGTCCCCAGTGCAAGTTTTTGCCTTGCTGGGTGATACGGACCACCATTTCTTGTGCTGAGGAAGAGGACAGGCCCCTTTGATCTTTACTGTTGGTGTAAAGCTCCAAAGCAAAATGTGACTCATACAGGCAGTGTAACTTCCCGTTGCTCCTGGGGACATGTAACATGGTCGCAACAGCCCCGTGTGCTTTAATAATGAGCAACTCAACAGGGCTGCACAGTACTGTAGGCTGTAGTAAACTTGACTGTGCAAGTAGGGATGCTTCTGTCAAAGTGAACTGTGCTTTCAGTTTTGTGCATTAACTGGTTTATTTCCTTTCTGCAAAAAGAAGAATCCTTTCTCTTGGGGAAATGAAGTCTGCCTACCTAGCCAGTTCCCACTCAGAAGTCTGTCTTTCAAGAGACACAGCTCACACACACTCGGCATCCTGGGAGGTGCAGTGACATTTCCACAGTCAGTGCAAGTCTCTGGGTGTAGGTTACGTATGGTTTGTAAATGCGGTAAAAGCACAAGCAGCTCAGTGCATGAAGCATGACTTCAGTGACTCCACTGACTTCAGTGACTCACTCAGCTGACTTTCTGATTCAGCGGAAGCACACAGGAGCTTCACCTCTGCATCTCTCTCAGTTAAGCCTTTGAAGTAGGGGCATGGTGATCCATTATCTCTGAACAGTTGTGACAGATGTGTGTTTGCCTATTGACGCATGTTTGAAAAGCAAAGTCCATTTGGCATACTTGCTGAATCCGCAGTGTCTCTTCTTTTGGTAAAAGACATTTCGATACAAAGGAATGGTCAAAATCCGGAAGTGCCTATGTGAGAATTCCCATTTGAGTTAACATCTTTAGAGAAACACTTTTGAGGGTGAAAGTATAAGTTGCTTTAGTTTCCTAAGGCCATGAAATACATTTTTTGACTAGCTGTATGTAGAAACATGCAGAAACCAGTGTGAAGTAACTACCTGTACTTGGAAAGCTGAATGGGAATGCCTCTGTCTGCCACTCGAGCTGTACAAAAGATGCAGCACAGCTCTCCCCACAACAGCAGCCTGTTGTGAAACACCAGAGATCATTATAACTCCTGATCCGTGGAGGCTAAATGCCACGGCCATCTGCTGAGGACGTTTTCATACTGGGAGTTGCCGTGGCTATTGATCTTTCAGGTATAACTTGAGGTACCCTCTTCAGCTTTGCTACATGGACACCTTCCATTTCATTATGCAAGTATGAATTACATGCTTATGGAAAACTTTGCAAGCAACTTGAGCATTTAATAACAACTTGCATGTTTTTAGCTTGGCCTGAGAGATTGTTGTATTCAAAACCTTAACTGTATTGCTGCAAACTAAAATTTCTTTCCATCCTGAGTTTTAACTTCCCATAATCACCTCAGGGGATTCTATATTGTAAATATAGACTTTATTGCAGGCTCTAGGTGCCTGTAGCTGGGTACCTTCATTTCCCCAGGCAGCCAGTGTGTTGCTACACAGTACTACTGTGAATGAGTGCTGCTGTGTTCTGTGCAAAAAGTCATCCATCAGATGCTGCTTTAAGCAGCAATAGAGAGGCCTCCCCCCAGGCACTCCTAGCAGCTCTTCCCCTTTGATCTGCAGGGCTGTGGAGAACAGAGGTTGTAGGTTGCTTGCAGCTGCGGGCAGGAAGGCAGTGCCCTTTTGTAAGCATGCATAAGCCATGTGTTTGCAAAGATCAGTGCACATGCATACATGTGCT